CTATCTATCTATCTATCTATCTATCTATCTATCTATCTATCTATCTATCTATCTATCTATCTATCTATCTAGTATGGAAGCACATCTTTCTGGATATATTAGTGTATATGTACATTTCTGAATGGATGGTGAATATATATTTATCCTGTATTGTTGTTGTTGTTGTTGTTGTTGTTATTTAAATTAAATGTATATTGCCGCCTATTCGCCCATGGTGACAGAATATAAAAAACACATTTAAAACTAATTTAAAAAATCAAATAAATTAATATAATAATAAAATCACTCCCCACCCCTGACCCAGTGACAGCAGATCACACGAGCCATTTAATGGGCTCCATCCCACTGACTTGTTTGTAGGGAGAGAGGCCACCTCTCCATCCCAAAATTCATTACTTTGTGATTGTATTCTTCATTACATGTGTTATTTGATCATTACATGTAAGCTTACATTGATCTATGAAAGTTGAGGAATCTAAAATTGCTCCCAGCCCCATTCCCAACCAGCTCTGACTTTGCCCATGAATTGAATGTGTGAAAGGACAGCGTTTGCCTTAAAGTGCAGACACAGTGCTAGTTAACACATGCATCACAGAAATCATCAGTTCCGCGTTTTCATTGTTCTACCGAATGAGACAGGCATAACGCCTACCAATTTCTACCTGAAATTTGCAAGCATGCTCTGTAGCAATTTAGAGAGGGAGAGAGTGGATTATAGGGTTTGGGAAACAGGATGTGCTTCTTGCCAATTCAGGAGATGGAGGGTCCTCTTTAATGGAGGCTTTTAAAAATAATTACATAGCAATCCTGACAGGGAGTAGGCAGATTAGAAGGAGACAGGCTAAAGAGACAAAGGCTACCATTTCCTTGTGCGCTGAATTCTGGCCAAAACACTTTTTTTTTTGAAGTTCCAAGCTCCAAAACCAAGACTTCCAAATTCTCCATGTTACTTTTGTCAAATTCTTACCCCACCCTTCTAGTATCATTTGTAACTAAACGGATTAAATGGAAACTAATTCTAGTGCAAGTAATTGCAGGAGGAAATGTTATATTAATCTGTATACAACATGATTCCAGGCAATTATCCGGGCTGATAATTTAACATTAAAAATCGTACAAGCTTATTACTTGCCGTACATTTCAGATTCTTCCAAGATTATATGTCGGGTGCAAATTAAAGCATTGTTGAATGACATTTATAGCTTGCAGTAAAACAAAAAAAATGTATCATCACTTTTCAGTTTTGAAAGTTTACAGCTCTCACAGAGAAAGTGAAATTGGCAGGCAGGCAGCTTCTCTTTTATTTTTCTTGGTAATTCTCCCAATAGGTTACAGAACACAGCCGCCCTGAGCTTCCTTTGGTCTGTGAACCCTTCCTTCCTCCATACCGATCCAGCGTAGAAGACGACGCAGCCAGCTTGTCTGGGGAAAGCTTAGATGGACATCCGCAAGGTGGGTGCTCTGGGCTCTAAGGAAGATTTCCGTGGGTATTGACTGTGGAAGTAGATTGTAAAATGGGAAACTATGAAAGAGGCTTTGTTTCTTGGTAGGCTTCAAAGTGATGTCATTCCTGTTTGTGGAATCCATCTTGTCTCTGGAACAGTGACTCTCATGCACTACTCAGGGATGGGTTTCTCGCCCCGTTCCAACCGGTTCGGTTGGAACGGGGCGAGAAACCCATCCC